ACTGCCGCCCGTCCTTTTCTCCTGCGGGGTCACAGATAACAGGGCACTCATGTTTTAAAAATTAAGCGAAAATAACGAAATTAGCATAAATAAGCGGCGCTAATAGGATTTCCTTTGTAATTATCAAATTGCCAGGCTGGCACAGAAAAAAAATGTAACAGGCAATAAATAAAAATTGTGAAATAAATTAAAGAATCGCACGGCTTAAAGCATTCCTTTGTGGCAGAGAGCAAAAAAGTGCGCAAATTTACACACATGTTGGCACCTGTTTTTTGTTTGTCGATTTCTGTTTTGACGCCTGCGCTTGTTTTGTGGGTAATTTATTGGCCTGCTCGCCAAAATCGATTTCGCATTATCCGCGTATATCAATGCAGTGGCTAATTTGCTTAAAAGCATAATTAACACGGCTCACGCAGACAGACACAAAGCGCGCCATTTTATGGGAGCACGTGAGTCGTAAAAAATCCGCGAACACGCGAGGTGCAAAAGACACGGCAAAAACACGGTGCGGAAAAAACAGCTGTAAATCAGCGCATCGAGCAGACAATGCCAATAACAACGGACCGTACCACACGTCGTATGCGTAATGAATATTTTGTATGTTTTGTATGCCTGTTTTGCGGCTTTGCATTATTTTTTAGCACTGGCATGGGGAATGAGATTATCCTAGAATGTGTATAGACAAACGTTAAGTCTGGGTAATATTTATCATAAAAAAATAATTTAATATTGTCTAAAAACCGAGGAATTAAGAGAAAACGATCCCAATTGACACAAATCTAATTAGCTTAGCATTTGTCATTATCACCATTATTATTATAAATTATTATAAAACAAAGAGTTCTTAAATTGTTTAGTATTCTTAATAACACCTATAAAAAAATAATTTAATAATAACATGATGATCATATAGTAATATATTAAATTCACAATTTATAATTGTAAAACAAAGAGTTCTTAAATTTTGAAAGATTTTTAATAACATCTATAAAAAAATAGTTTAATAAAAAAAAAATTATGATCGCGAACAAAATTAGCACGGATTCCTCCAAATACACCCCATCTAGTAATAAATTGAATTCACAATTTAATTGAATGAAACCATTTGTCTTAGGCATTTTTCAGTCCAACGCCTCAATAATTCTGATTTAAGACTTTGATATTTGGCTTTTATTCAGTCATAAACTCCCCGGTTACCAAAACTCATTGGCTTCTCCCCAACAAATCAGTTTAGCATTTCCAATAGCGGACATAATTTAGAAAAATTCTTACCCCCATTTATTGGCCCGAAAAGGCCTCTTGACTTTCTTTCATTGCCATAATTTGCTTTGTGGGCCAATTAAAAGTGATTAGTTTCATATTGCGCGCCGTTTATATTATGCGTACTGCTCAATGTGAGTTTTGTGTTTTCAAATGGCTAAAAGTACGCAAACCTTTTTAATTCTGTGGTAATTAATTAGCCCGCCCATTTAAATTGCCCAGCGGACCCAGGAACTCGCTTTTCACGGAACTGGAAAAGCTTTTTCGGCAATGCACGTAAGCGTTTACCTATAATTTTATGACTTTATGAGCGGGGCATGGGAAAATGGCGGGAAATGGCGGGTGGGCCTGGTGTTGCCTGTAAACAAAGTTTTTGTTGGAGCCAAAAACTTTTCTAATTATAATCTACATAACTTAAATTTGCAAATGAGACGCGAGGGCAAAGGCACAAAAGTTTACCGCTGCCGAGGCATGCGAAATTAAATTATGTCGGTGTCTACGCCATGTGTGTTTGAGTAAAACAAAAAACATCTGTTTGAAAAGAAACGTAAATAAGCAGACAGCATTTGAGTTCAAGAATCAAAACTTGAAATTGAAAATGGAATTTTTGAGGCATTTTATTGATTGCTTCATTTAAATACACATATCCATACATAGGCAAATGTACGAGAAGGGCATTTCCTTTGGATGCGAAAAGTGCCTACCAACTCTCTGCGTTTATCTTGAAAAATCATCTAATCTTAGCTAGACTTCATATTTTTCGCAACGCTAAGCTGCCTGCCATCTAAATGTGTATTGCTTTCGTGCACTGTTCTGAATACCAAAATCTCCAAAAATTCGTAATCAAAATTATGTATACGCACATACAAAAATTAGCACAAACATAAATAAATATATATATATTTATTAATATTTATGCACCTCTTATCCGTTAGATTAATAATGCTTTACATTTGCTTTTCATTAATTTAACATAGATTTCAGATTAGGAAATGCTAATATCAATTCGGTTATGTAGGATTGCAATATTTTCCTCGGTGATCTACTAAGTATAGTTTGCATTTAATATGGAAATAGCTTGGATTACCTATGTTTTTTCCCTGCTTAAAAAGCGTTGTGATGTTTTTTTTGAGAAATTGGTTTTTAAAACACAATTACCCCGCCCTGTGAAGAGTGTGTGGTTGGAAGCTCTTGGCTTCTTTTTTCCAAACACCCTTGGGCATATTTTAGAGGCTCATGTGACAAATTGCGCCAGCACGTGTATCGCATGCTCATTTCTGGAATATGCCAGGTCCTGTTCCCGCTGATACGAGTATCTCTTAGTGGCGCCCACGCTGACAAATCCAATTCATTCCTGGCCGCCTTACGTGGCGTATACGTAATGGGCCAGCAACTAAAGGTAATGTGATGGGTGCTACCTGCCCTCCACTCTGATTCCATGTTTATGCATGTACAGTGTACACTCCTCAAATTGGCCCCCACTTCAATCATTTCCAGCTGCCTCGTTATTTTTTCTGCTCCCATTTTAGTTTTTCATTTGCTGGTTTCGCTGCCGGTCCATCAAGTGGAAGGCAATCGAAAAGTGGCGCCTCGCAACAAAATGCTCAATGTTCAGCAAGAAATGGCCGGACTTCACTTGGCCGGAATGATATTGTTGCATCGGCATCGGCACCGGCATTGGCATCGACATGGGCATCTGCATCGGCATTGGCATCGGCATGGCCATCATCCAGCAACTGGCAACAATTACGCGCGCCTTAATTGCCACACATACACACACTCGTTAGCAGGAGGATGCTGGAAAAACGCCAGCAAAAACAACAGACAGGGGCGGATCGGACTGGCCATCGGACCTGAAATCAAAATCATTGGTGTGAAAATAAACTAATTGAAGAAAAATTTCATTTGCAGCACCGGCAGCAACAGCAGAAGCGCCACTCGAAGCACCGCATCTTGTTGCATTTGACCCGGGGTCAAGTTGCAGGCGCACACATGCCATCCCGGGCCACATCCTCGCGCCGGAACAGGGGACACCCGAGAAGGGGGACAGGACACCAGGGAGCCCGGTGCGACGTGTGCTTATTTATCAGTTGAACCAATCCCCTGCAGTTCTACACTGGCTACAGCGTTCCTCAATTCACCTTAAGTGGAATTCGCGTTCCTTTTCATCGGAATATTTGCATGAGCTAAAAAGATATCAATTAATTTAATTGAATTCGTTGACTTTGGTTCCTACAATTTCTAAAGGTAGCATCAAGTCTTAGAGGAAATATGCATTTAGGTGTTTCCTTTCTTTTTAAAAACTTGGGTATAGCCCTTTTGGAATAGGATAGGAGTTTGGCCACTGTGATTAACCTCAACAGTGCGTATAAGCTATAATTAATTAATTAATTTAAAAATTAAAATTAATTTTAAAAAAATCGTTTCGTATACCTCATATAGTTCCTTGATGCGCACTTTTTAGGCGTATGAGAGCAGGACCTTAAAAATTTCCATACAAATGTGCACCGCCCTAGTGACCATGCATTACCTAACTAGATTAAATCATGACAAAATATGTATACATTGCATTATCACGTATTGAAAAATACAATTACCCATTTTTAAAAGCAATATATTATATTAACATCGTTTTCAGACCACTGTGCAGTTGGAAAGTTCCTCAATGCCTGGCACTGTCCTTGTCGGGGCAATATTTTCAGGGAGTTGCCTGCCGCCCGGCTAACTATCGAAATGCATGAAAAACAGCGAAACGGTAATGTGCAGTTGCCATGCAGCAGTGGACCAACAGCAGCAGCAACAGCAGCAGATGTTGCAGATGGAGGTGCCCTGAGTTGTATGCTACACTTTTTGAACAGCAGATGCGATGGCGTTCGGGCGATAGTGTGTGTGTGTGGGCGGGGGCGTGGCATATATCCTTGACTGTTTATTTGCCGCTGCCTACCAGCTGCCAGCGGCTTACGCGTTTCCAATGCTGTTGCAAATGCCAATGTTGCCAGTGTTGCTGGTGTTGCTGTTGCTGCCGCCCAGTTGCCAGCAGCAACAGTTGCGTGCAGATAGATGGACAGGCGACTGACTGGCAGACCGTAGATATTGCAGCTTGTTTGCGCGTGAAAAGACAACAAAAGGTGCAAAAAACATACGAGTATGAAACACACTCGGCTCTTGCCGTATGCGCTTTCAAATTTTGCCCCTAATTGGCAGCCAGCCGATTGTTTTTCAAGTGCGGATTCATCGTACGAATTACAGTTATTATTCAAGCGAATCAATAGTCTATATAGGCTTAATGAGTGAATCCCGGTAATGAAATCGTTCAAAAGCCAAGTTATGTTGTTGATAGTCATGTAGGGCACTTCACTAACTCGAGTTTGCCTAGGTGCCCCATTAAAACTTGAACATCAAATTGAAAAGGAATTATCTTTACGAAAACATATTTTCCACATTTCTACATTTTTAAATTTAGTTTTATTACATGAATTGCAACGAAATAATTCGTTTCTCGTATGTGTTGTTATATAAAAAATTCCAGAATAATAATATCGATTTCAATCAATTATTAATCATATTTTTTAGCTAAATATTTTGCTTACGTATTACTTTGATTGTACATAGATTGTACAAACATTTTAAGGTGTTGTAATACATTTTCTTCCGCTTTATGTAGCTAGATCTAATTTAAATTGAATATTGTTCTTGAAGTGGCAGGCAGTCTTCCCCATTTTTTTTTGGCAAGTAACAAATCAAATCTCTGATTCTCACGTTCGATAAGAAAGAGGAGCAGCTCCCTCGGCTGAACTAATTTCTTTCACGCTGCGGTCTGAGTTACGGAGCTTAAATTGGGCAGCCCCCAAGCCCCCGACAGCCACGGAGGACCACAAAATTTGCATCTCTCCCAGGCTTCGTCCATCCCCGGCGTCTCCTCCCATGTTGTCTATATCTTTTCGCTCATGGGAGGGTGGAGGCATCTACATAAATGTGGCTTTTCATTAAAATCTAAAAGCATAAATCTAAAAAGTGAAACCAACAATGCCAGAGCAGACGCAGGCGGACATCTGCGGTGAGCACCACCCGGCTCCCCCGATTTCACAGGATCTGTGGGCTGACTGCTTTATGCCTTTCTTCCTTCCTGTCTGAATCCGTGTATTTGTATCCGTGCCTCTATCTGTGTCTGTATCTGTGTGTGGGCTTGTGGGGGTGTGCGTGGCAAAAACTAATTGAATTTTGAAATTCAAGTCGAAATTAAAAAATTACAAACAGCCGGCCGCATTTGGCATCGCCAGCCGAAATAAACTGTAAAACGGAAATGTTTTCGGCAGGTGGAAATTGAAACTGATTGAATTGTAAAGTGAAGCATAAAATGCTTTTCCTCCGTTGTTTTTGTTTACAACTGCTGGCACACACACTCACAGCACCAAACACCCTCCGCCCCACCCACCGCTTTTCCCCAGTTGTTTTTATTTTTGTATAATTTATGGTTTTCGATTTTAATTTGCGCACTTAGGCGCTTATTTTATGGGAGTTTTCTCGTTTTTTGCATATTTCGCGCGCCTTCTGTGTTTTGTCACAACAAATTTAGGAATGATAAGGAGAGTCGATTGAGGAATTCGAAATGGTATAAATACTTATGAAATCCATTTTGCAAATGCCCTAAAAATACACTGCTTTAAAATTATAAAGTAAAGGGGGAAAACATTGCCCCTTTGATAATTATGTTTTTATAAAGAAAGTCTAACAGAATCAATGAATAAACTAACTATTAATAATAATAATAATGCATAGAAGCATTGCCAAAACTTAACTGAACTCCTGTTATAGTTCCTTAGTTCATATTTTATATTATCACTAAATGAATATCTGCCCTCGCTGTAAGCTCTTAGACATATGCATTATGATTAGCGACCGTAATTGAAGTTTAACTGCGCGTGTAATAAAAGCGATTTCTGGCCATTTGCAACGCATTAAAATCATAAATAATACAAGCTGAAAGTGTGAAAATAAAGACACGCGATATGTTGTGTTCCTCGAAGGGCTTCGCCCATTTCTCCTTAGAAATCCGAAAGCATTTCTCAAAACGGGAAAAAATACGGCACAATTTTTGATGAGTTGGGGATTTGGGGACGCGAAATGGGCGCGAGAAAATGTGCGAAATGCGATATTGTACCAGGGCATTAAGAACGTGCTGGCATTACCAAACCTAGACCGACTTATATGGGTTTCCACCGATGTGGCGGTGGAATGTGGATGTGCTGCAGACCGCAAACAAACGACGGCGACTTATTCATTGCGCTTGCCATTAAGGTGGCTCTCGCTGCCATTTGGCCATGCCCACTGCCAGTGCCATCCCCTCACCAGGGTGATATATAACACGCTCATAATTGGTCATAAATCTGACAAATGTAATTTGTCATCACTCAAGCAGCTAGCGAACCGGGCCAGCATCACCCCAATCTTTCACAGCACCAAGAAAAAATAATAGCGGGTTCTCCGACTAACAGATACCTGGTGATCTATGTCGTCCTTTCGTTTTTCAAAGTAAATAAACCAATATAGGGGGTTTTCAAAGTTTAAATGTTATTTTGGGTGTCTAAAAGTACGGAGTAAAGTTCGACTTTCTGAATGAGTTTATTGTTCTTCTGAGCTTAAAATATATTGTTGTATACTTTTAGACACCTAAATATACGATCAAAAGTATAAGCCCCCGTTTGATTATAACAGGGACAATCTTGATATAATGATCTTAAATATTAAAAAAATTAAATCAATAATAAACTTCACCTATAGTTATAGCTAATAAAAATACAAATGATTGTTAAAAAAAACAGTCTTGAATGTTTGAAAAAAATGTTTATAAACATGAAAGGTTAAGCTCTTGGGGCAAATTCCCTCTTATTCTTGGACACATAAAATTATTTTAATATTTAATTTTTTCCGGATATAAGGCACCCAAATCAAAACCACATATCCTTTGAAGTCCCAGGTTGGGTAGGTGAACCACCCGGGTTTCTTCGGCTTTTCCCCACTCCCTTTCAGCTTTTGGCCCAGCTGGACGACTCATGACCAAGTCGACGAGTATACTGAAGTGCCAAAATGAAAAAGGTGCTTGACACAAAATGTCAGCTGGATATTTTTTATTACACAATCACAACATACTCATACCCGTACGAACGCACACTCCGACACCTTCGAATATGCCCAGAAGCTGGCTGTGCTTTTGTTTTAGTTTCCGCTCGACACCCACACATAGACAAACAATATTTTCGGCCACTCCGTACTTCACACATAAGCCACAAAGTAGTTACTTTTTATGCTCCTCACTCGCCCACACACTCATAACCGGACTTTGGAGCCCCGATTCTGATTGTTTTCCCCAACGCTCACTTGAGCTCGTAAATATTTTACAAGTTTGGCCCGGTCCCCTCTCCTGGAACTAATTTCAGCTCTTATAGATGACATACGAGGCACTTTCCGGGGCTCCTTGGCTGCGAGACCGATTCAACATTCCGTTATAAATGACTTTCAAAAGGCCTAAACGTTGTAAATGGAGTAAGTGCGTGTTTCTGGTCAGAGCATCGTCATCAGCCCTAAGTTTAAATGGCCGGCAGCAATCAATAGGCCATGATAATTTATGGCGATTATGTCGGCCCAAAGCTAAGAAAGTTGTCCAGAATATGTCTTAATATCAAACTTTGATTTTCTATTAAGGGACGACAAGTAGGTAAACATAATTTGATGTGAAATCTTTGGTTATATTGCTTCATTAAACATATATTGATTTTTGGTGTGTGGTGTTCTGTTGAGGTGATGAAATTGTGAAATAACGCGTTTATTAGCATACTTTTAGGCAGATAGATTTTTATAAATCCTTAGATTAAATAAAACCTTTGTTTATAAGCTTTAATTTATGAAGAGTGGTCAGTGAAAGCATCCAATCGTAGTGAATCATCCATTGAAGGGTTACATAAATAACCGTCAATACTAAGAGGTAGTAGAACAGAGATATGCGAAATTCATAGCCACTCATGGAAATGTGAAGCAAGCTTGTGGAGACGATGAGAAAAATGAAATGAATGCCAGTCTCCGTTGAAGCTGTTGTTATAATCTGTGGAAGTATAACTGTAAGATTTTCCAAAACAAAGAAAATATTTTTCAACCCACGCTGGAACTGGAATTGAAACATCCCTGGTAGAACAGAAGGGGAAATGCCAGAAATATCGCATAGGTGACTATGCTCATCACGACTCCGAAGGTGGCATCCCACATCTTCCGCTGCTGCAGGCACCTCACGACTACCGCCTCACTGAACATCTCACCTAATCCAAAGTACATCAAAGCCGTCACATCCGGCTTCACATCAAACTGGATGCTGATATACTGCCAGGTTACATTCTCTATCTCCCGACTTAGCAAATTCATGGCCACCGAGCTGATGATCAATCCTAGGAGGGCAAAAATCCACACATTATCGGGTCGCCTTAGAGAGTGAGTGGAGATGAAGGCCAGAGTGCTGAGAGCCCAGCAAACCAGGAGCATTATTAGCCAGCTGACAGCTTTAAAGCCATGGGGAAGACATATAAGAGGCAGGACGATCAGACAGAGGCAGTTTATATATTTGTTCCAGCCAATGAGAAAGCGGTCTTTGGATATGACCGGGAAAAAATTAGATACAACAAAAAAGATGGGTACCTGTAAATTAAATTTTAAATCATTTAAATCTTACGTCTGACTGTTATTACAATTACCCACCATTAAAACCCTATAGACCATATGCGAATCCTTCATATTATCATATCCATTGACCGTTTTTAGCCAAAGTTGACGTCTGGTAAAAACTTTTTGCTTCTGGTATTTGCCCAGGATCTCATCGCCGCTATCCATATCCAAATAGTTTTCTGGTTTTGAGGTACCTTTTGCTAAACTTCGTTGAAAAGTAGCATGCGACACTACCACGATTACCAACAAAACTAACGAAAAGGTGTACAGGAACACAGTTACCCGGAATTTAATCAGATTCAGGTCCGTATCCATGAGCTTGATTTGATATGATTTCTTGGTTACTATATAAAGGTATCCCATGCCGGTCAATATAAAGGTCATGCAGGACCAAAGGGTGGCTCCTTCAGCCCGATATCCTTGCATACTCAGAACCATAAGTCCGATCACAAAATATCTTAATATATCTCCCACCATTTTTGCAAACTGCAAAGGACTCAGGCTACCTCTCTGAGGATCACATATCATCCAGGCGCTGTTATAATAAGATACAAAAATACTTGGCCCGAAGATAAGAAAAGTGATGCCAAACATTGTCAAGGGTGCGAATTCAATGAGAGTTACTAAATTCGGCACAAAGCTGCAGGAGACCGATAATAAACGAAAAATAAAATGTCTTATATAATGGTACCCACAAGTATTTTGTCAGCATAAACAGCAGACTAAAGTGCACCATCAATAAAAATGCATTTATCACGCCATAAATTGATATCGTAGGTAACTTAAATTGGCAAAAGAAAACATCTAGGTAGTTTATAAGAAACACAAACGATCCACAACTATGGGTACTCCTTGCAAGAGCACAAGTCTGATTAGCATTTCGAAACAATTTCTGCGGCAGTGAACAGCGAGTCTGGAAACAATTTTTAAATCATCGATAATTCTCAAGTTCTTGACTACTTGCCACAGTTGAGAGGTCCATAAATTCCATAATTAACTAATCATATAATAGTTTACTTCTGTAAAATCACATTTTATTTGAAGGGGCTGCCTAAGGTAGCTAAGTTTTTCTTATATCTTAGAATAGTTACTAGTTAAAATACGTTTTGTAATATTTGCACTTAATCGAGTTCTATGACTACCATTTTTGTCTATTTTATCATTTTGGATGGTAAATATGTAAGCATTTTTATCATAATTCCAACAAAGATGCTGCTTAGTTTTTACCGAAAAAAATACAACATGATGGATTCCAATGGCGTTTGGTCTTCAAGGTGCAGATGCAAATGCACTGCCTTCGAAATGGGTCAACATAAGGTTCATGAGCGATCGTCGTCATCATCGTCAACGTGACGAGCTCCAAGTACGCCGCTTATCACTCCATAGTTGTTATTCATCTTTTGTGACTGCCCGGTCCCCAGCAGCCAAAGATTCGAATTCAGCCGTAATGAAAGTTGATGCGACACATTTGGCAAATTGCCGTCGCCTCAACAGCAGGCCTCAACGTCGCCCGAGAACATGATATTTTGCTTTTTTGGGCTGCAAGAGAAAATCCGAGAACTTTTCGAGCTCGTCTCAATTAGCGGCAATTGAATTATTACACGGCGACACTCATTCAATTTTCTGTGATAGGGGAACAGGCCCACGGGCAAGTGTTGTCAGAATTCTGATAGACGAGTGCGACGTCAGTATGGATGCGACTGGATAGAGGAGTTATGCAAACACCCTACCGAGATGTGAGGATTTCAGAAGAAGTCCAAATATGTTATTTTGGACATCTTCATAAAATCATTATCACGTATTCACGTATTTTTTTATGTTTCTAAGCTCATTAAATTGCTGATAAAAGTTATAACAAGATTGGGTATAACAGATATCTCAAGATTCAGAAAGGATGTCAGTGGACCAATTATCGCCTAGTTCTGGCAGAATTCCGTTTACATAAGAATTCCGACTAAATTCAGCTCAATACGAATTTAAAACTTGTCTTGTTCTTATTATAGCCCGGCGAATAGAAAAATAATGTTCTATTGTGCACCTTTTCTGTCTTTGTATGTTATAGGTTATCAAAACACAATATTTGAGAGCATTTTCCATTTGGTTTCTACAATATCTACAACTTCAATAGTTGGTTGTTACTAAAAGAAATTTAAAATTAAAATCTGTAGGAACTATGTATATTTTTCAAGTATTATAAGATTATTTATAAGATAAATTATTAAATTATTAATATCTATTCTATATTATTTCGAAATGCGCAGATGGAGAAATCCGAAAGTATTTCTTAGCTGCCTTGTAACATTAAAAGTCTTCAAAATAGGAAACCTTTTGTTGGCCTTCATTTTCTTACAGCATGAGTTAGAAATTTTATAAATCTTTCTTTACATTGTCCCACAAAAATAAACAATAAAATAAATACGAACTTGAAAATAAAAAAAACTTGTTGATTCCTGTAAGGTTATATGCCCTTTCCTCGAAGTGAAGCGCACCGTCCCACGCATTTGCACTTTCCTCGGATAAACACGTCGCATTTGTGCCGCCTGCCTCCAGTTCATCCGCACCACTCGATCAGTTGGGATCATTTAAGAATCGTCGCGATCAAGATGAGATCCTGGTACTTGGCACTTAGCCTGCTGCTTATCGCAGCGTCCGTATTTCAGCCCATTGAGGCTCGAGGCGGAAGGGGGCGTGGCGGTGGATCGTTCGGCGGACTCTTCGGCGGATGGCGCAAGTACAAGAAGCCCTCGTCGTCGGGCGGTGGGCGGCGGGTGGTCAGCGGTTCGCCAGTTCACACGGCCATGACGGTGCCGAAACCCCCACCGCCGCCCGCACCTCCAAAGCCGATGATGCCGTCCAAGCAGCAGATACCCAGCTATCCGCGCCAGCAGATGCCACCGGGCTACGGCTACGGGTCGTATCCTGGCCAAGTAGGTGGGACGTACTACTCCAGTCCTCAAGCCTTGCCAGCGGGAGCGGTGTACTACGCCCAACCACCCGTGGGAATGAACCGGGGAACGGGTAAATATATGATAGACGGCCATAGTTTTATGAGCGCAAATACCTATTTATTCAAAATTATGTGAAGCTTACCAAATTAGAAAATGGTATATTTATAAATAGCATAGTGACGACCTACAACAATTTTTCAAATTTTTTTTGGACCTCCCAGGTTCTTGTACCTCTTAACTATTTTAGTTCAATATGTAATATCCATCATTAATACAGGGCATTGAAGATGTTACTAAAAACCACAATTTAAGAAGAATAATTACTTCGAGATTTCCTTTGTGGAATATGCTTTTCCAGACAATTACTAGAAAAAGTAACTAGAAAGTTAGGTAAATTTTCCTTGCCATCGAGATTAGTTACTCACTAATAAAGGAATACCTAACGAGTATAAGGGATGTCACATGAGACGTTTTATATAGTATCCTATTTAATTAAAGAAAAAATCAAGGTAGAACGTTACTCAGGTGAAGGGAAGCGAAGCGAGATTGTAAGGCGCCACCTACACCCGATTTCAATATATACCAATATATATATCAGTTAAAATGTTTAAAGTTAAAACAGTTTTCGGAGGCTTGTGGACCTTACGGTAGGCGTGGCAAATTCGCGTGACAAACTTGCGCTGCGTACGAAGCTAAGGAATCTAAATCTGATATCTCTAGGTCATATAGTTTACGAGATCACACGGACAGACGTACAGAGGGACAGACGGACATGACTAGATCGACTCGGCTAGTGATCCTGATCAAGAATATATATAATTCATGGGGTCGGAATACAATGTAATGTGTACAATGTGTACGAGTAACGGAAATAATTCCAGGCTGCCAGTGACAGACTTTAACCCATCAGATAAAATACAGTGTCGCTATAAACCGAACCAGTTCGATAATTTTTACATTTTCTCTCCCTTTGTCAACCATGCAGGAACGGGAGACTTCCTGACCGGAATGCTGGCGGGTCACATGATGAACAACCTGATGTTTGGCCACCGACACCACGCATACCACAGAAATCGGGAGGAGGGACAGACGCCGTCCCAGGGAGATGGTCGCCAGATCATCATCGTGAACAATGGTCAGCAGGAGGGGGTTTTGCAGAATGAGACCACTATTTCAGGGGAAGCCTCCGCCGTAGTTCCTCCCGAAAACCCCCTAACTGAGGAGGATGAGGAGGGGCAGGGCGAGGGCGAGAGTGACCCTGTGTCTAGTGAGGAATCCCCGGAATTCGAGGCGACTCCTCAACCCTATCCAGATGGTGGCATTATTTGCTTCCCCATCACGCTCAACGAAACGGATCCCGAAAACTCAGAGGCGATGCGGGAAGTGGAGCGTGTGGTTTGCTTTCCAGCTCCGCCACACAATCCGGACGATTTCCAACCCACCGTAACCACTGAGCCGCCTATTGTTGCCGGCGATATTGTTGGTGGTGCAGAGGATGGTTCGCAAGGCGGCGGAGTTGACGAGGTCAGCAATGCTGGTGTTCCCATCGAGGTAGCCAACTTTGTAGCTGCAAGAGCCACCAAAGTCGAAATGGACACCATTTGAGTACTCCTACGTTAGAAACTAAGTAAAGCTAAATAAACATTAATAACTTATTTCCAACTTCGACTTTTTATCCCATTGAATGAAACCTTACGGTGACTATATTTATAATCTCTTTATTGATACCGAGATTTTAAATGTTAGTTTGTCTACTCTTAAAAGTAGCTAAACAAAACATATCAAAAAGAATTCCTGTGTATTATGCCTGTGTATTATGCTAAGGAAGTTTCGTCACGAAACGCGTTTTTTTTAGTACCTATTATTATTTTCGATTAGTGTTGGTTCATTTTCATTTCCATCGCGTGGTTCTGATCCTTTATAATTAAGCAACGGACCTTCATACTAAGAAAACCTTTTATTAAAACACTTTAATAGTATTATAGCCATACGCACGCAATAAGGATTGAAAACAGAAGACACAAAAAATAAAACCCACGTCAGAGACTCCATTTCGTTTGCGCACCAACGTTTAAAAATAATAACATGATGAAAAAATACCATACATATAACTATACATATTTTAATAACTTAACTTGAGATTATAGTTGAGGGATGTTCTTTCCATGTCTTTAAAAATGTAGATAATCAAGGTTATTGGTTGATTAATTTAATTTTACACTTTATACAAAATAAAACAAAAAATCCGATACAATTTTAACAATTTGGTCTGACATATTATGATTCAGGAATAAAACTAACAGAAACTGGCAGCAACAGCTTGGGCTTAGTTTGGCTGTTAACTTGTTTTATTAAGGAAATCTGGATACAGTCATAGTTTAATATTTATGCCAGCTACAATATATAGCTCTCCGATTTTATCAAAAGTGCGTCAAATTTGATTTTTGTTACAAAACTGTTTTCCTTTTCGATTTTTTTGCTTAACAACTGTCTTTGTCTATGAAATATAAGAGATAAAATAATATTTGGTTAAAGTTTACTTTGTTTAGAGTTTACATATTTAATGAATAGTAAAATTACATTTCGAGCAAATCAAGATTGTGGAAAATTTTTTTTTTCAAAATCTGTTTGGGTTGTAAATGAACGACTCAAGGACAGTAGGTCTCAAAATACGAAATATAAAGAAATCACTTAATAGTGAAATGATTAAGTCCACGAATGATGGAAAACTTCTAACTTATATCAAATGAAACAGATCAAGTCAGAAATATCTGAATACTTATCCACTGAACGAGCTCTTTATAAACACAATACACCCGCATCATCATCGAAGTAATGGGTATAATCCAATCCAAAAACAAAGCCACACGAGTTCAAAGCATCCAAACAAACGCCGTTTGTATGTGTGACGGTGCGATAATCCAACAAGAGCAATGAAGCTCACTTGGCGCTCATTAAATCCACTAACACCTACAGTAAAAACCGACGCAGAAGCTACAACAACCAAGTCGAGCTATAAAGTAAACTAAATGAGAGGGTGGGCAAATGGGAAGAGAGTTGACGGACGTTTTTGTCATTCATAGGTTGAGGTCGCTGGTTTTTATGATATCATTCACGCACGTTTATAATACTTATTCGCAAACTACAAACTGTATACTTTTTAAAAACCGGTAAACAAAATATGTTTACTATATAGGGTAGTGCTTAGTCATCATACACCATTTCAGTCTTCTGATGTGTTTTTGCGTTTTAGAATTGAAATGATTTACATTTGTAATAAATAATTGCCTAATTCTAATTTTTAATTGCGTGCTTTCTTATCTCCCCTAGTCTTTGTCATAATCGCCCCTATTTCCAGCGCAAATGATTTGAAAACAGCAGATAAAAAGGGGATGACAATACCAGAATTTCCCTTTCGAGATGCACATTAAAAAGACTAAAATGCTAAAAAAAAAAATGTAAAACGAAGCACCCGAAAGATAATATATAATATATGCACATATGAACCGCCGTCAGCAGTGTCACATATTAAGAGAAAATGTTGGATAGCCAGTGGCTAAGTGCACAGAAAACAATGGGCGTGTAGCAATATGTCAATCGGTATTATAGTATAAGCTGCTTTGACTTGAGACCTACGTATTTAAAAATAAAATTGGTTCATTTAAATTTATTGGTATTTTTTCCAAAACAAAAATGTGCGAACTAGATATTCTGGTTACTAAACCAACCAATGTTAATTATTATTTTACAAAATAATTGTTGGTACCAACTTGAACTTTAGCCATCTTGACATTCCGACAGTTGTTGTTGTATGAGGTATGAAAATAAAATGACAGTGTAGAAAAGTATGACCAATTTTTGTCAGTGTGATGACCACTTCGCTCCCGCGGTCGCTGCTCAGTCGCTGCTTTGCTCGCCGCAAATTGCTCCGGAGAAAAAAGCAAAACGCGACCGATTTGGTACCTCAGTTCAGTTGTTCGAGAAACTTTGCACGAAACAAAAGCGAAAATCGCACGCGGCAGAAACAGCGAGCGGAATACACAGAAAAACAAAGTAAATATCAAAACAAATGTATTAATTTATTAGACTTGAATACTAAGGTGAAGTGACACGTGAAGAATTAATATTTAAGTACACAAAGTTATTAGTGGTTCATTTGTGTAAGGTTGGAAGAACAAGTTCATTATTTTAAGCACTTAATGCGGTTGCTTCTTTTTGTTTATTACTTTTTTGCAATGCTTGCCCGACTTGAAGGTCACTTCAAAACAAAAAGAAAACAATTTATATTGGGAATTGCGATCAAATATAACACGAGCCAGACATATTAAGAGGCCATTCCCAATCAAAATTAATTGGAAGTTCCTTACTCCCTGTTTTAAAAATATTTTAAAAAATTGTGTCTGAATATATCAGCAGTAGAAAACTCAATTTTTCTATGACGCTGAACCAATGTGTGCAGTTGACAAAAAATGTGACAGGGCAAGATTAAATTTATGCATAGGTGCATTGAGGTATGACAAAAGAGAATATAATTGATGTAAGGCAAACAATGTGTATACACTGGAAAATACAGAAAACTAGATTAGTCATTCAAACACAGCTCATAGTCTGTACATCATACACACCAAATTACAAAGAAATAAAGGTTTACGCGAATCAAGTTGAGCTTATCATTAGATCAGTCCAAAATACTCAAAACAGCTGCCACATCTCATTAGATTTATGGGCAAATACGATTATACATTAAATGATATAGGTTGGAGACCAGCTGTCCAAATATCACATAACATTTCGTGCCAAAACTGTTTTTGAAAGTCACCCACTCAAAAAAACACATAACAAACCGGCTTTTGACGCCCAATTAACTTTTATTTTTATATCTTTTGTCTATCGGTCTTCTCATTTCTTCCATATATTATGTAAGACTTGGCCAAATAAAGCTTCTCCAAGGCGCACCAAAAAGTGATTCATAAATTATTGAAAAACGCATTTCAATTGAAATATTTATTTGCCTAGAAATCCTTTTGACATCAGACAAAAGCACTGCGATAAGCATTCGATTTCTGGACCGAATCTCTTAATGAGTAATTTTGGGTTTTTTGTCTTCATAGTGATGATTACTAAGTTTCCCCTAATTGTTGACGAGTATATTCCTGAAATGTTGTCTTTGAACCTATGCTAATCTTTTAAATGCTTTGACATCTGACACCAGCGATAAGCATGCGATTTCTAGACCAAGTCTCCCAGTGATTATTATGAGGTATCAGCTTGAACTCATGTATTTCACTGGAATCGAGAGACTGTGGGTAAACAATCATGAGGTAAGCGTGTAAAACAATTTCCATTTCCCCATTGACGTCATAGCTGCGCATGCGCTCCAGTTCAGTGGTTTCATGAGTCACAAACGAGTTTATCATGTTTTCTGCATCGCTTGCAGTTTTTAAGTTCGCTTGTGTCTAAGTTCCAAGCAAACATCTTCCCAGAATATTAATTAAAGCTGTTTGTTTCAATGAATCTGAAGTTTATTTATACAAGATTTAACTGGAAAATATCGATGAAACTGTGGTGTTAATAAATAATCTCAATTTCAACGTTCAGAAAACTTGTACAAGGTCTTTTAAAGTTTCAGTTGTAATCGCACTTAGTTGATTGTTGGTTCCTGCGCAAATATCTTCTTCTTACACTCAACAAAACCCATTAACAAACAAAACTAAGATTATAAGTTTTAAATTTATTTTTTTAGATTAGCATACTTTTTTGTTTATTTTTAGGAACTTTAAAAAGCGCTTTTTTGAGCTGGGCCTAACAGTTTTGTTCCATCTTATCAAATTATTTGTTTCTCTTGAATAATAAATTTTTTTGTTTTGTTTTGGACAAATATGCGATAGCGAAACAAAACTAAATGACTTTTGATTCGTTTATGTTTGGCTGAATTAAAGACAACTTGTAAACAAATTTTCAGAATAAAATAGCCTTATTTTAGTCTTCTAAAAATGAATCTTACAACTAGTGATTATTTTTTTCTTCGGAAAAAACCTCTTATTCATTCATTTTATTCATTAAATATAAACGTATTTACGTCATTAATATTGTATTTCATCAAATAAAAAATTGTTATCTCAAATTACGTCACTGGGGTTTTTCCAAAAACAAATCAAAACAAAATATATAATTTTTTTTAATCAAATGGCATTGTTCTTACGAATGTCTTTAATTTCAGCACTTCGCGCCAGTTTTAATTAGCTCCTTATTTTTTCAAAATTTTTTTCGCCTTCTGGCGCAATAAAGAAGACTTCCGTTGGCCTTGTAACCCCAAGACCTGACCTTTAAAAGCTTGTGTTTATAGTTCTGGGATCCAGACTGGGTGTGTTTGGGAGCTGAAGGCAAAAGTCAATGGAGTGTAGCCACGCGACAAGCCGCCCAATTCAGCAAGTTAATTATCATTAAGCGACCACCCAAGACACGCATAACGCGCTTCTAATTTGGGCAAACAAAGGAGGCAGGCCGTTCTGAGCCTCCTGAAAATTAGGCAATCAGGGCGTGACATTCCTTCACTGTTTAATACTTTACGTGGATAGTAAAGGTGCCAGCACTGCAAACAAATATGGAATCTCAATCATAGGCCTAGTCAGCAACCCAAAAAAAGCAGGAAACTTGGAACCACTTTCCCTGCCATAATTTTGTTTTATTATTAGCCCAAATTGAATCAATTGTTCTTGTACACAAACATAAAAATAAAGCCACGCTGGCTGATGATGACTGACAATGGGGACTGAAATCAGGGTGCAGTAGGGAATGATATATAAATAAACCAGTAAGCTTGCTTGCAGCCTCGATGATTAAATACCCTGGAAAAGCATTCATAGCTGTGTAAAAATAAAGTAAGAACTTAAAATGAAAGAGTATGAAGTCAACTTACTAGTAAAATCATGATTGTCAAGCTGTTTACCTCAAAAACTTAAATATTATATTTCGTAAAAACCTATTTACAAATAATCCCACTTGATATTATAGTGACTAATTAAGTTTTAAACCCATTTCAGCATGACCCTTTTCCCGACGCGGCTAAGAGGCAGCCTGTTGGTGGTGGTGCTTCTTATATTGGCCCTAACCACTGAGGATGTGCATGCCAAGTGGAAGTCCAGTGGCAGCAGAAGTCGCTCTAGTTCCAGTTCCAGTTCCAACAGAAGGACCTCTTCGCACTCCTACTCCTCCCACCCGGCTCCTTCGCACACCTTCTCATCCCACCCGGCTCCCGCTCCCCACGCGGATAATGTGAAGCTGAGCTACGGAGGTGGATCCCATTCGCAGCCGAGCAGGGTGAGCAGCTCCCAGACGCACAGTGCTGCCCCTTCAGCCCCAGCCTCGCCCATCGGCTGGAATGTCCCTGCGAAGCCCCAAGGGCCTCCGCCGGCTTACTCCGCCGCGAATCCCGCGGGCGGAGCTCACACCAACATTCACGAGCGTCCGCCGGCCTACAATCCATCTTACAAGCCAGCACCACCCAGCTACTCGGCGGCCACCCAGACGCACAGCAACCCGAATCTGCAGAGCCCATCGCGTCCAGCAGGAATTGCCAGTCCCGGTTCCAGTTCAAGTGGATCCCACTACTACGGCGGAGCGCACTCCAGTACTGGATACAGGGGCCGAAGTAACTCCACGGGCGGATATGGCTCCTCCGGTGGATACCAGCCCATCACGGCCACCAATGCCCACAACGTGCAGTCGAGCTATCCCCGCCAGCAATTGCCAGCGGGAGCCACCTACCACCCAGCGGGACAAATTCCAGCAGGAGCCACTTATCATCCGGCGGGTCACTTGCCGGCTGGAGCCTCGTACCACCCAGCGGGTCAGGTGCCCCATGGAGCGACTTACTACCCAACTGGCCAGATTCCGGCAGGTGCCACTTACCATCCCTCCGGCGGTTATCCGGCTGGAGCCTCTTATCACCCAGCCGGACAAGTGCCCCACGGAGCCACCTACTATCCACAAGGACCGCCCGTCGCCGCAGGTCTCCCACCAGGCGCCACCTTCCTGCCCGCCGGAGGAGCTCTGCCCGCAGGAGCCGTTTACTATCCACAGGCACCGCAAAAGTCCTCCTCAGGCTTGGGATTGGGTGAGTTAAAAAAGGAGTTTTACACTCATTGTGATGTGCGAATAACGGACAACCTTAATAACTGGTATCTCCTTTCTTACAGGCACTGGTCTTATTGCCGGAGCTTTGGGTGGTGCTATCCTGGGTCATGCCCTCACTCCCACCCATACCCGTGTGGTGGACCACTCCTATTCCGGCGGTGGTGGAGGTGGAGGAGTCAGCCAGGGTGGCGACGACAAGATCATTATTATCAACAATGGACCACCGGGATCTGTGACCACCAGTGATGTGGGATCCGGCACTACGGTAATAAATACTGGAGGAACCCAAGCCGCTGGCTATCCTTCGCCGCCAGTGGCACCTGTATACGCAGCTCCTCCTGCTTCAGTCTCCCAGGCTCTTCCTGTTCCACCCGCTCCTCCAGCTTCAGGCGGTGTCCCCTTGGCGCCATTAAGTCCTTTGCCGCCAACACCCGCTGATCCATCGGCTCCTGCTCCTGCCTCTGGAACTCCCGTAGCTCCTGGGACTCCCGTTGCCCCTGGAGCTCCAGTTGCCCCGAATTCGGCGGACCCCAACGCACCAGTTCCACCTGTACCCGGCGCACCCGCTGATCCGAATGCACCACCTGCGGGTAACATCATTTGTGTACCCGTTAAAGTGCCTGGACCGGATCCCAACGATCCCACCAAGACGATAGAGCTGGACCAGATTGCCTGCTATCCGGCACCACCACCGGAAACTGCTCCTCCAGCCAATGGAACCGCACCGGCCGTTGAAGGACCTGTTCCCGGTCCCGTTTCCGCGCCCGGAGCCGTTCAACTGGCTCCCATCGAGGCCACAACACCTGTCACCATTCCCGAGGGATCTGTGCCGTTGGCTCCCATTATCCCCGGAGGTCAGCCGGATATCATGAAGATGCCTGGTCTGACACAGGCTCGACTGTCGGCGGAATCTGGTCTCAGGGATGCTCATAGTATGGCGCAGCGAACCTTTGGTCACTTTAGCCTCATCTCGACGGTGGTTACCCTGATTGTGGCCTACTGTATCCACTAAGTACCCATCTGCACACAACCCTTCTCATTCTCTGGAACGAAGTCTCATTGGCGAAAGGAGAGCTTTATCTAATTTATTGCCATTCTGGCGACGCGAGATTCAAATTGATTTATATAGACGGTTCTCTTTATATATTTTGTAAAAAACAATCGAATTTTTGAAATATACTCCTAGTTCTGTTAGACTTCAACGTAAGCAGCTAATAAATGTACCAAACGACTAAAAGCAGTTATAAATTCAGACTAACAAAAAAGGAAGCAAGGGGGTAAAGAGTGATTATTATTGTAATCACAATCAAACTGAGTTTAAAGTCGAAAAATTACAATTTTTCCTATCCATGTTTTTAAATATAATAATATCTTTAATATCTTTTTCTCTATATATAATTAAAAAAGTACAGTTAAGCGAACTTGATATGGACTTTTCCACAAAGATGCCTACACAGAACAAACAATTCTCGGATACTTTCTGAGAAAAAATGCTTTTCGGGAGAATAGTTCTCATATACAAGCATAAACGTTATCGTTTCCAAGTATAAATCGTTCTTGAATTCAAAAAATATCTCTCTCTTTCCAAGACGAAGCTCTATTATAAGATAATATCGAAGTCTTATTGATTTTAGTATAGAAGCGTTATTGGATTAACATCCGTACAACACGTTAATGATTTTATCATGATCATTCCCAGGCCTTTGTTAATTAATTCCTCATCATATCATCAATAAATATGAAATGTTATATCCAGATAGTAGTTTTAACCCATCTACAAATTATTACAACCATGAGCCAAGGGGGGTATAGAGGATAGATCCAAATTATTGATTCTTACTCTACAATTTTTTGTTATCCCCCACAACCAAATTCTGGATAATGATATAATTTAATTTACAATGCATAAATTATTCTTTTATATTACTAGCTACAATACACAATACTTTTAGGTGGCTGTAGATGTTGAATCACCTTCCTACCAGCAGTCGTGTATGTGATAATTCAAACTCTGCTTGCAGTTTTGCTATTTCGTGTATGCAGATAACAATGGCAACTTCTAAAATCTATATGGGTTATAGGGATAATGAGTGTGTATGTGTACTCTCGTTAAAAGTAGAGAGAACGCTTATGATTTTTTATGATTTCTTAAAAGCCTAAAATGACTGAGTTTATGCATTTATTCAATCTTACCTGGCAGAGATGCCGTACCGGTAAAAAAAGATGTGTCCGATTTTTAAACCGATTATTTTCTTCCATTCGCATGTAAACTAGCTAGTATTAAGGAAAATGTGTGTGCAAACCAGTATAACATATTTTCTACCGTCAACATAAAACTTGAAAACTAATTTCCATTGACACTGATTAAAAAACAACTTTTTAAAAGTTAGGCGTTGTTATGTATTTCAATCTATCTGAAAACTCAAATAATTATATAGAGTTTATTTGTCACCATTTGAGGTTGAATTCATAGTCAAGTTTCGTGTTTTCTCGATTGCATACAACGATGTTTATGCACACACGAATCAGTCCATTTCACACTTTATAACATTTTTATTTTTTTATTGACCAGCATTTTAAAATAAAGTTAACAGGGTTTCCGTCGCTTTTCTTTTGAGAGTGTAGCCCACTTTCTTATGATTTCATAAATCTATTATTATTGTTGCCTATGACTCATTGACTAGAACAACAAATCGAGCTAAAGAGAAAAAACAAGGGAGAACGCTATAGTCGAGTACCTCGACTATCAGATACCCGTTACTCAGCTAAATGGAGATATGCAAGCAGCAAAGCGAGATTAAAATGCGCCACCTACCGGCGGTATACAGATTTAAGCGTTATGGGCGTTAGAGTGGGTGTGGCAAATTTGTTTTTGGATCAATCGATAGGTATTGACGAGACCAATACATTTCAGTTAAAATTTTTTATCTAGCATGAAAATTGTGGGCGTCACAGGGTTTTGCGGTTTGTGGGCGTTAAAGTGGGCGTGGCAAACTTTTTTTTGGGTCAATCGATAGGTATTGATGAGAATATTACATTTCAGTTAAAATTTTCTATCTAGCATCAAAACTGTAGGAGCCAGGTTTTGGGCGGTTTGTGGGCGTTAGAGTGGGCGTGGCAGTCTACTGAAACAAACTTGCGCTGCGTAGGAAGCTCAGGAATCTGCACGCCAAATCTCAATAGCCTAGCTCCCATAGTTTCCGAGATCTCAGCGTTCATCCGGACAGACAGACGGACAGACGGACAGACGGACATGGCTAGATCGACTCGGCTAGTGATCCTGATCAAGAATATATATACTTTATGGGGTCGGAAACGCTTCCTTCTGCCTGTTACATACTTTCCGACGAATCTAGTATACCCTTTTACTCTACGAGTAACGGGTATAATAATGTTTACCGATTGACACTTCCTTGGGTGACTGTCCACCCAGTCACAATAGTTTGCTGCAACATACACTTCAAATTAAACTACTAAACTACTCGACTACAAGATACTCTAGCCATGTCCTTCTGCCTGTTCGTCTGTATGAACGCTGATACCTCGGAATCTTTAAAAGCTAAAGACTTGGGACTTGTCATGTAGACTATAAAGCTTCTTGCGCATGTTTATTTCAGCAGTGCACCACGCATACTCAAACGTCCACAAACGCCCATAACATAAAAACCTCTATAGCACCCGCATTTTTTAATTTTTTTGTAAAGTAAAAATTTAAATTGATTTTCTGAATATAACCTATCTAAGTGCTGAGAATTGTACCAATCGCACTGTAATTTTAAAAGTTATGACTAACTAATTAAAACAGGCTTCGACATGGTTAGTAGTGCCGCTACCGTCCGCTAGGTACCGTGGCCTTGACATGGTCTGTAGTACCGCTACCGTCCGCTTGGCGCAGTGGCGAGAACATGTTTGGTGTGTGACTCGCTAATAGAAATGCCTTAAAATGTTAATTTATTTTTAAATATGAAACACAGTCACTGGCTTCTGATAGTCGCAGCACTCGACTATAGCGTTTCTTCCTGTTCCATTTTGTTTTTAAAACGACAGCAAAGCGGGAAACCACATTATTTCCGTTAGCGGTTTTTTTAAAATGTTAAATATTTCTCAAAGACTTATGAATGCTCGAAATAGCACTTCCAATCGGCTGTTCAGCGAGTGTGGCTGTGTTCTTTCGTTAATCTTCTAAAAAACTCTATTTTATTAAGGGAACTAAATTTATTTCCAGGCGCTATTCAAGTGAGTTTCTTGTAGGCATTGGTTTTTAAAAAACTTTGGTAGCTAAATCAAAATAAGTTAAAGTCATTTTTTAGTTGATAGAAAGAAACGGCAAGCAGTGGTTTTAAGGCCGTTGCAGATTTTACGAATTAAAATATAACATATTAGGAGCGAAACAAAGTGAAATAACTTGAGGATCATCAATACAAATAAGATTTATTAAAAATAAATTGGCTTTCAAAATCAATAAATTATTAAGATATATTCAATTACGATTTGCCAAGCGTTAATTCAATATCTTATATCCTGCGAAAAAATGTACTTACTGAAACGGCTTTAAAATCAGGTTTTTGACAGGGCATTTTGTAGTATGCGTTTAAATAATAGTGGTACTAAGTGTTTGTTAGTTTAAACTTTAAGCTGTTAAAATATTTTGTGCTGTTCTTGTAATTAATAGTAATAATAAGTGCATAAGTACGTGACCGATTTTAGATGCAAATTTTTTTAAATGACGCGAACGACAGTTGATTTTTCTTGAAAAAAGCGTTTGATCTTTGATGTTAAAATCTTCCGAACGAAACTTTGCGAAACATTTTATTACTGTTCGAAGTACAAGCGTGGTGTCCAAATTTCACAAATTTCTTTCGTTGCAGCGCACTCAGTTTTTCCTTTGCAGAACCGGTATAACATAATAAAAATACTCAGGGGTCCCACAGAAACCATCGACGGTGTAGGGGACTATTGGTTTTAAAACCAACCAACCAAAACCGTCGGTATCCCTGGATCTATAGTTTCGGAGTAAATTCGGTCTTTAGGATTTTAGGAACATTTATGTCAAAACCTACTATTTGGTTGGTTTTAATTCGTCTACTTATTTTTGAACCGGATTCTAAGACACCGAGTTTTACTTTTAGGGGAAAGTTTGTTTGAAGAGATTTCTCTGACACCCCGGATGATGTCAAATATGTTTTTTTTATTGTTGTCTACACAGAAAAAAAGGTTTAAAACTAAGTAAAGTGTTTATACCCGTTACTCGTAGAGTAAAAGGGTATACTAGATTCGTCGGAAAGTATGTAACAGGCAGAAGGAAGCGTTTCCGACCCCATAAAGTATATATATTCTTGGTCAGGATCACTAGCCGAGTCGATCTAGCCATGTCCGTCTGTCCGTCTGTCTGTCCGTCCGGATGAACGCTGAGATCTCGGAAACTATGGGAGCTAGGCTATTGAGATTTGGCGTGCAGATTCCTGAGCTTCTTACGCAGCGCAAGTTTGTTTCAGCAATGTGCCACGCCCACTCCAACGCCCACAAACCGCCCAAAACTGTGGCTCCTACAGTTTTGATGCTAGACTAACAATTTTAACTGAAATGTATTGTTCTCATCAATACCTATCGATTGACCCAAAATAAAGTTTGCCACGCCCACTTTAACGCCCACAAACCGCAAAAACCTGTGACGCCCACAATTTTCATGCTAGATATTGGTCTCGTCAATACCTATCGATTGGTCCAAAAAAAAATTTGCCACGCCCACTCTAACGCCCATAACGCTTAAATCTGTATACCGCCGGTAGGTGGCGCATTTAAATCTCTTTGCTGCTTGCTTATCTCCATTTAGCTGAGTAACGGGTATCTGATAGTCGAGGTACTCGACTATAGCGTTCTTCCTTGTTTTAAATTAAGAAAGTTGGGTCATAGAAATGAATCAAGACTGAAGGTTCTTAAATTCAGAAAAAATGTCTTAAGACAAGAACAATTGCTATTAATTTTTTCTTTTAAGAACATTATGTACTTATGTAATGTAGTTTTTAATTTTAATTTTACTTGCCTTACCTTGCCTTAAACCTATCGGCATGAAACTTTCCCAGAAGTCTTCAAAGGTAGTATAGAATTCGGAACGAGCCGGATCGGGACACTATATTCAGCTTCTGCTTCGTTGTTTTCTGATCATATTCTCTTATACACTATATGGTATAGCTGTCCTATGAACGATAGGTAAATAGTCTGACCTGATCGTTCCTATGGCA